GTGTAGGATTACCCTCTGTGATGCTGTAATTTTACAAACTGGCAACACTAATTTTAGAAATATTTGCACCATCAATCTCTGTTGCTCTTTGTACATCTCTGTCTCTGATGCATCCATCTCTCATCCATTCTGCCTCAGTTTCCCCACACTTGCATGCTCTTCCAGTCTCTCTTGGTTCTGAGTATATTTCTCTGTTTCTCTCCCTCCCCCTTCCTCAGTCTCTATCCAACCAAGATCCTGCCACTGCTACACACCAGCAACTCCTGGGCTCTGGCAGGAAAAGGTATTTTTAGGATCTGAACCCAGTGTTCTGAGGTAGACATTAATAACCAATAGAGGTTGTCTGTGGCATATGCAGCAGCTATGCAGCCTCAAAGACCAGCCCTTGGAGGCCCAGAGATGGGGTCCATTCCCTTAGTTAGACGTCAGGAAACCAGACCTCAAGAAGGCAAGGTGACCACATGGTGAGACGAGGACTATCCTATGTTCTGAAAATTTCTCAAGTTGGGGGAAAGAGCACAACCTCTGCCACAGAACCACGACCCTACCCAACTCTCCTAATCCAGACCTTTTCAAGAAAAAAGCTTCTATCCTTTGCTTTCCTTTCCTAAGAGCAAGGAACTCCCTCCTGTCCTCTAACCTGCAAACCATTCAGGGTTCCCCAGAGCCAGACAGGGGTATATAACACAGAGACTACTGCACCTCAAGCCCTGATGTCCAGAGGGTTCTCTCTCCCTGTGCCCCATCCCACTTAAACAACTCACTCCCTGTCTGAGCAGACTGCCAGGCACTGTGCTGGGAGCTAGAAACATGGAGATCACACACAAACAGAGTCCTGCCCACAAGAGCTCTCAGCCTTGGGACCATTCACTTTACGCTTTCCTCTTACTGTATACCAGGTCTATGCCAGGCAGGTGGGGCAGCAGTGGGCAGGGCAGACTAGGGCCCAGATCCCTCAGAGTTCACAGACTACTGCTTAGAAACCCTGTGGAAGGTTGTGAGGGTAAAGTATGTTCGGGTATGGTGGGACATAGGGACCCCATCGGATCTGGGGAAGCCAGTCTTGCAGGGCTGGGGACTCTTCAGCTCATTCTCAACCACACAAAGGTTGCAGGAGGAAGCCAGCCAGCACTCTCGCTGACCAGAAGTCACTGCCATAGTCTAAATTCAGTTTCTGCCTTGGCAGCCCCAGCCCCAGTCCCCAGGAGCTGATTCCTCATAGGACCAGAGCTTCTCTTTAGCCCCTGTTCCCCTGAGCTCCAGGCTGCGGTGCCCCCAACCAGCAATGGCTCTATGCCCTGGGCTCTCTCTTTGCTTTCTGCTAAGATAAAGGGGAATGATTACCTCAGGCTCTCAGTCCACAAGGACCAGTATCTCCCCAATCCCTCCCCACAGGAAGCCAGGACCTCCAGTGGGTGTGGTCACCCAAGGCCACAAGAGTTTACAAAGCTGAAGTCTGCCCTGCTCCCCCCACCCATGGTGGATCTGGAGGAGGGGTCACCTCTCTCCTCTTAGCCTCCTTGCTCTCTGGGACCCTCCAAACCAGGCACACATGGTGTGTGCGTCCCCCCCAAACCCATCTGCATTTCAAAGAAAATCCACTCCATATGTTTCCGATTCATTTACACTTCAACTCACCATGGGGGGGGGGCAGAGAGCAGTTCAATCCTTCCACCCTCCTACCCTGTAGGGGGCTGGAAAGCATGTGTCCCCTTCAGGGACAGGGAGCAGTTACAGCTTGGCCATGTTGGTTATGTGGAGCTACAAGGTCAACATCCTGCTGTCCAGGTCCCCTGGTGGAGACAGTGCACTCCAGGAGCCCCGCCCACTGACCTCTGAGGCAGGAGAGGACCTAAACCCCAGGGGATAGTCTCCAAGGCAGGTGCAGCCCTAGGACTGGCCACGATCAAAGCTCACCACTTCTCAAGTAGCCCATCTTGAGAGGGGAGGAGATTGAAGTGAAGGGAATTCTAAGCATGCCCAGAACATAGGATCAGGGCTCAGTTGGCATTTCAGAAAATCTAGTGAAACCCAAGGGAATATGGCCCCCAGCCCTTTCTAGCTAAGAGCTGACAGCTACCTATGCACCAAGATCTGGGACTTCTCTCCCCATAGAATCAGACTTGACATTCTAGAACAGTCCTTGGAGGAGTCGCTGGAGCCCCAGGAGGTCTGTTTTTTTTGTCCTTCAGTTCTTGAGTTTTCACAAGCCTCCCATCCAAAGGTGACTGGCTGGGGGTGTGTCTCCTTCTTAGCCTACACTTGGCTCTATGGAGGAATATGGAGACTATCTAAGGAGGAATACACATGTACACGGCTTGTATGGGTGTATGTCCCCTTGTCCCAGTAAGGCATTCAGATCCTTTGACCTTCCTGTTGACGCCCATCTCGGTGGGGAAGTTAAGACAATGATGTTTGATTTGGTTGGTCATTGTTTCCTATTTCCCCCTCCCTCACCCACAGTTCAAGTGAGGAAAGTGACCAAACATGAATTACCTCTTCTTCTCATCTTTGGTGGAGACAGGTTTTAAAGCAGTTCTGGTTCCTCACTTCACCAGAAGAAAGCAGGACCCTGGGTACTTGGGTACTGAGTTCTAGTGGGTGTGTGAACACCACAATCCTAGTATGGGTCTAAAAGTGGGTCAAAGTGGAAATGCAGTCTCAGAGTGTATTCTAGGGTCTCTGTGCCAATCTGAGAGTTTCAATATGGGAGTCGGCATCTGGGTGTGGGCATTAGGGCCCTAGCATTTGTCTAAGAGGCGGCTCCAGAACAGAAATATGACTTTAGACATAAGCATGAAGATCTAATAGCAGTTTGAGTGTGAGCTCCAAGATGCATGTGTGCATCTGAGTGCACGTGTGACTGCAGGTCTGAGGTTTCCCGTGTAAGTATAAACGTGAACTCCAGGTGTGAGGTAAGGTCTGATGGTGAGTTCCAGGACTCCCCTGACACTTGCTGTAAGTACCAAATATTCTAATGGAGGTCTGAAGATGAGACCCTGGTTCTACCCGCTTCCTGAGTATGTGTTACAGGTTCCTTTGAGCATCCTGGTGTGAGTACTCAGATCCCTTTCTAAGTGTCAGTCCCAAAGTCTCCCATGAGGAGTCTGAGGGTGAAACATGAGAACTCTGAGTGTGAACACTTGACCCCTACTTGATCCCAGGATGGAAGTGAGAACCTGAGTGTAAGACAGTGGTGAGTGTCAAGACGCTTCTGTGAGTCTGTGTGTCCCACTCTCTCAAGCCGAGGCATGAGTTCCTAGGACAAGTCTGAGTTTCACCTCAAGGTCCCTATATGAATATAAGAACAACCTTAAATTAAGGTCCTAGCATGAATTCACGCCAAACAGGTTCCCCCGTGAGTCTAAGTGAGGGCACCTGGTCCTAGTAAGAGGCTGAATGCAAGTCCCCAATGTGAATGGAAGTGAGAGTTCCACTGTCAAGCAGTGATTCCAAGTGTGAGCCCACATGGATCTGAATGTAAGATAATCCCAAGAGTGTAGCAGAAGTTGCAACATCCCCGTGTGAATCTGAGCACGAACTTCAGGGTTCAAGAAAGTCTTAAGTATAAATTATAAATTGCTAGTCTCTGTGTAAGACTCGGGGTTGAGTCCATACCACCAATCTTGTACAGGATCCTCCAGAACCTGCCTCAAGGAGCTGTGTAGGCTGTGGCAGTGGAGATACCGTGTCATGGTTTACTGAGACACAAGGGTCCCTCTACCCCAGCGTTCTGATTAGCCTCCATGCAATATCAAATATTTAAGTCCTATCTCCACACAGGCAATGAATGATAGACATCACACCTAGAGTTAAACACACAAAATGCACCAAGTTTTCAGACTCTCTGGACACACAAGCATTACAGATGCAAGAACACACGCTCGTTTCTGACCTGCACCATCTCCTGTGATTACCGTCACACCAACACTTCCAGCGACATGGACACAAGCATATATCAAGTATTACAGGCAAAACAACTAGTGTGCATACACCCCTACCGCGGCATGCAGATACACATCCAGGGTTGCAGACAAGCTGCCAGCCACACAAGACACACACAGACGCTTCTCAAAGAGACTAGACAGAAAGAGAAAGAAAATCCTGAATTTTCAACAAGGCGTGAAATAGTCCTGCCCGCCTGAAGCTACTGGGGGGAGGTAAGAGGGGGCGAGAGAGAGAAAGCGAGAGCGGGTTAGCCAGAGAGCTAGAGGCTGGAGGAGAGAGGCTCACGGAGGACAGAGGAGAGGAAAACAGAGCAGAGCTGCCCGGGAGGAGAGCAGGAGAGCTGTCCGTCTGGTGACCTCCCCGCGGCCCAGCCCCCACGCACGAGGAGATCCACTACTCGGAGCAACACAGGGACACCCAGGCTGGCTCACACAAAACCGCACTAGGGGAGACACACGGGCAGACCCACAAAGAGACACTCGGATACACCCCAGGACGACTCACATGGACACACAGCACAGGACTTAGAAAGAGGCACGATGCATGCAGGCAGGCTCACACCGACACACACACACACGCAGAGACACACACACATCCCACAGCCGGATTCACACAGTCACAAACACTGGAGGACGCACAACCGTCCGTTCACATCCTCGGGTGCTCTGAAGTCCAGATTTCTGCTGGAGGAGGAAGTCGCCTCCCGGGCGGTCATCGCGACCCCCCAACAGCATAATTTTCCCAAACCCCACGCGCACGCCGTTGGGGGCGGGGAGGAACAGGGACGCTAGTTCACTCCGCTCCCCCACAGCTGATTGTCTGCCCCCACCACCACGCCCAACCCCCCGCGCGCCTGGACGTGGGGGGCTGTTTCCCCGTGCCTCCACCCCCGAGTTTGCGGGCGAAGTTTCCCCGTGAACTTTCCTTACCCCCGGGGCTGTGGACCCACGCGAGTCCCCGCCCGTTCCCCGCGCGCACAAGGACCGCGGGTCTGTCGGTCCGCCCAAGGGTCCGAGGGTCCAGCCGAGCGCGGCTCTCCGCACGGTACTCACCGCACCCTCAGGCCGCGGTGCCTAGGTGCCGCGCCCTCGACCGCCCCCGGCAGGGAGCAAGGCAGGCAGCGCGGAGCGAGCGCCGCTGCTGGATCCCACCTCCGAGCCCCGCGCCGCGCCGTGCCTTGCCGGCAGGAGCCGCCGCCTCCACTGCTGCCGCCGCCGCCCGCTCTGCACCGGCTCCTCGGCGCTCGGCGGCTTTAACCCCCCCATCCTCCTCCCTCCCTCGCGCTCTCCCTCCCTCCTTCCCTCGCCCATGTGACCGCGGGCGCCCGCTCGGCCGCGCGCGCCCTCGCTCCCCTCCCCCTCCCTCCTTCCTTCCCCGCGCCGCCGAGGCCGCGCCGCACGGACCCCTCCCCACCACAGTCCCCGCGCGCCTCCGCCTTGGCACGCTCCCGGGCCTGGCACGCGCGACACGCGCGGGCACACTCGCCCAGGGCAGGCCTATGAACCCCCACCCCAATTCGCCCCGAGCTGGCACGCGCCCTCCCCAAAGCTGACACACTCTCCCGCTCTGGCACGCGTACCCCCTTCACACTCGCCTTTGCTTGGGCGCGCCCTGCAGACGGTGATCTTCGCGCTTCACGCTCAGCCCGAGCCGCGGGTCTCACAAACGCGCGCGCGCACATCCACACCCATTCCGCCCGCTTCACCAGAGCAACGGGGCGCGCACCCCCTGGGGTCGCTCCTTCCCTCTAACATTCAGCCTTGGCCAGGTCTCTGCCGTGCACACTCCTATGCTGTCTGGCCCAGGCTACCTCTCAGGGACACTTGACACACCCAGGCCAACTCTCAGGATTCTCCCTCCGCCCCACTTGAGAACGAGCCAGAGTCCTCCAGTCCCTACTTAGAGCAGACGAGGCCAGGAGACTTTGTCTCTCGCCTATCCCTACTGACCCCAGCAGTGACCTCCTCCCCACTTCCAGTTACAGATAGACCCTTCGGCAAGGAAGCAATGAAGAAGGTTTACGCTTCATATTCCCCCGGGTGGGCCAGGTTGGGACCACCATGTCTCTATGACACCACCTGCCCCTCTCTTCACAACGCCCCCCCACACACACACACATGGCCTGGGAGAAGAAGTCTCCACCGGGATTCAGGGGAGTAGGCGAGTGTGCCCGCCAAGCCTGGACCCGCAGGCACACCCCTTTGCATGGTTGGCGCTAGTGGCTCACGTCCATCCAGCCTTCCTTTCGTAACCTGGGCCTCTAAGGGGTCTCTATCCTCACTTTACTCGCACTCCCGGGCCTCCGCTTTGGCTGCAATATGGGAACTTAAGGTCACTCAGCTAAACCGACTTCTGAAGCTACGCGCGGAAGCGCCGAGGAAAGAGTGGATGCCAGAGGCGGGAGAACGAACGGCCCAGCCTCATCTCCACCCCATGGGTTTTTCACCTGACCTTTGACCATAATCTCGAGCCTTCTGCTACCCCCTTTCCCCATCTAGGGAATTGTACCAGGCCTGGGAGGCGGGGAGATGAAGGGAAATACCTCGCCGCTTCCTCACACCCTTCCTCTGGAGGCTGCCAGAGCGCGCGGGCCCTTTTTCAACCATTGCCTCTGGGATTCCTCCTGCAGGGTAAAAGCCATCCTCCCGCCACCGCCGCTGCCTTTTCACTTTCACTTCCGCCGCTGCAGAATCCCCTCCGTGCAAATGGCAGAGGTCAGCCGGCTCTGAGGCCCAGAGAGGGCTTGCGGAGGCTTAAGGACATACAATGGGAAGGTGGTGTCCACTGAGGTCCAGCCCATCCATACCCACAATGGTGTCCCCTACCCTTTCTCTCTAGACCCGTCAGCCTCCTGGACCACAGGCAGAGTGAAAAGGAGGGGAAAGTGACAAAATCTGAAGGGATAGGAATTGACCCTCCCTCAGCGCCAGGCTGGGCCTGAGAGTTGGATTTGGTGTTCAAGGTCAACCCTTTCCTCCAGGGACAAACAAGCCTGGTTATTCGTTTTCTGCGTGAGAGCAACTGGAGAGCGTTGTGACCGGAAGATCGTTCGTGAGCTGACCTGGCCTTTTATTGTCCTGTGCTCAGGTTCATTTTGCCAGATTGGGAATAGTCATTAGTTCTGCCCTGGACGGATGTGCCCTCTTCACCTGGGAATGCAGAAGCTATGTGGCTGTTTGCGAGTGGCCATGCAGAGTCCTCGCTGAGTTTCTGATGTCCGGGAGCCGCCCATGTCCAGGGAGGCCGAGGGGCGCACGTGGGACCCTGTGCGGCGTCGATGAGTCCGCTGCTCCTCCGGGCGCCGGGCCAGCAGCCGTGCCCGCTTTTCCCGGGGCCGCAGCGACACCTGGCGGGCGCTGTGGGACGCGCGTTTCCCCTCGGTCTGCAGCTCCCGCTCCCAGCAGAGGCAGCGCCCACCCACCAAATAGGATGTGGCCCTCTCTCCATCCCACTGTCACTGCCTGACTCATAACCTATTCTCTTCCCATCTTAGCTGCATTTCTGCTCCTATGTACTGCTCAGTACTCTGCCCGCACACGAGCTTCTGAGCCTCTGACTTTCCTAAGCCTCTGGGTAAGACCCTTCTGTTATCCTACTGTGTTGGAGTGTCCTTAATGGGGACATCAAAAATCTGCGAGAAACCTGATGTCTCCTCTCCAGCTTTGTTAGATGCTCTGGTCTCCCCAGGTCAGCCCCTTTCACTGTCATGACCATGTTATCTTTAAATCAAACTCCACCTCACTATGCCCCTGCCTCTCACCACAGTCACTGTTCTCCCATCTCACTCCCCATGGGGGCTGGATGTATACTGTCAATCATTTGCTCTTTTTCTTTTTTTAATTTTTTTATTATTATTCATTTTAATGAAAGTTTACAGAGACTTTGGATTTCCTTTCATTCACTGTTGCACTTTTCTCCCTGCCCATCCCTCCCCTGCCCCAGTTTGCTCTTCTCTTTGAAAAGTAAAAGGAAAAAATCTTTCGTTGTTATACAATCCCTCCCTCCAAGCCCACTCCACTATGCAGCCTTCATTCTGGACTCCTCTCATGATGACAATATCTAATCAAATATCTCTTTTAAAGAGTTCCCTCCCTCATCTATTTCAATGCAGTATACAGAATTTATCCCATTTTTCTCAGTCTCTCCCAAACCCGATGTCAGTCCCGTTTTACAACAATGGCACTATGCAGTATTTGTCCTTTTATGACTGAAATACTTCACTCAGCATGATGTTCTCCAGAGTCACCCATTTTGTATAATATTTCATGAGTTCTTTGTTTTTCAAAGCAGCGTAGTATTCCATTATGTGAATATATCAGAGCTTCTCTATCCATTCGTCTGTTGATGGGCACGTAGTTGTTTCCAACTCTTTGCTATTGTGAACAAAGTCACGATAAACATAGGTGTGCATATATCTGCTTGGGTGGCAGTTATGGTTTCTTTGGGATATATTCCCAGTAGTGGAATTGCTGGGTCAAATGGTATTACTATTTGCAACTTTTTGAGAAAGTACCATACTGCCTTCCATAGTGGTTGCACCATTTTACACTCCCACCACCAGTGAATAAGGGTTCCAGTTTCTCCACAACCTTGCTAGCATTTGTTGTTTGCTATTCTGTTAAATTTTTCTATTCTTATTAGGATGAGATGATACCTCATAGTTGTTTTGATGTTTGCTCCTTTTCTAAGTTGTTTATTTCTATTAACATAAATTCACTTGCCCCCTCCAAGGTTCCTATCTGAACTTTCAAGTTGCTCTTGTCTCTTTAATTCATAAACATAAATCTTAAAGGAATACAATGCTAAACATAATAATTGTATTAGTTAAGCCAAACATACTGTTTCATTTCAAGAAGATTTCAAAACACACTCCTTCATTGTCACAGAGCGTGAGAACTGACTCATACTGACCCATTGGGTGTTCAGGCTGTAAATCTCACAGAAGATTTCACATTTTTCTCCCATGGAGCAGTTGGTGGATTCAATTTCCAGGGAGGTCCAACCTTTGAAATAGCAAAACAGCACCCTAGAAACAAAATCTGTAGAGCTCCTTAAAAGACTTCTGGGGGATTGTTTTCCTTTTTTGCCTTAGTTTTCAGAATTATCTCAGGGCAATAGTTTCAGAAATACTTCAGCCTCTGTGACTACAGAAAGTCTGGACTCCACAAGAATTTAAAATTCTGTTCTGTGTCTATCCCCTTTTGACCTGGATTCTTTGATCCTTTTGATTCTTTGATTTTTTTATAGCATCTTTGATCAAACCATGCAATAGTTCTCACAGCAAAAGCAGATAGTTGTACAGGAAAACAATTAGCCACATAGTCCATATTCTCTTCCCATTCCTGTGAATTCTTGGAGTTTTAAATTCATCACAAAAAGGGGTCTCGTTGGTCAGAACTTTCCACCTTGGCAAGTGAAAGTGGAAGACCTTAGGTGATCTTCCACTTGCATCTTCCAGGAATCAACTGGGCCAGAGGAGACTGAGCAGCAAGAACGTTTCTGCACTCCTGCAGAGATTGTCACAAGGAAGAAGAGCCCACTCCCCACATCTTGCAATCTATCTTTCCTGGTTATGATATCTAAATTCCTATATAATCATGAGGAATGTGACATCAGGACTGGAAGAAGACTTATCAACAACCTACGTTATGCAAATGACACAACCTTGCTCGAAGAAACTGAGTAGGACTTGAAGCATTTACTGCAGAAGGCCAAGGACTGCAGTCTCCAGTATGGATTGAAACTCAACATCAAGAAGACAAAGATTCTCACCACTAGGCCACTTGGCAGTACCATGATAGATGGAGAAGAGATTGAGGTTGATAACAATTTTAGCTTGCTCAGCTTCACAATCAACACTCTTAGCACTAGCAGTCAGGAAATCAAAAGATGAACTGCTCTGGTGAAGACTGTTGTCAGGAGCCTCTCAAAAGTGCTGACGAGCAACAGTGTCATTTTGGAGAGTAAGGGCATGCCTGATTCAGTCCATAGTTGTCCCAATTACTTGCTATGGATCAAGAGAGCTGGACAATGACCAAAGATGACAGAAGAAGAATTGATGTTTTTGAGTTGTGGTGCTGGAAAAGATTATTGAACATATTATGGACTACCAAGAGAACAAACAGCCTGGAGAGGGTGAAACCAAGTTGCCCCTTGGTGGCAAGGATTTTGGAGCTCCGTCTCATACACTTTGGGAATGTGACAAGGAGAGACCTGTCCCTGGAGAAGGACCTCATGC